GATTGGAAGAACCTTTACGTTAGAAGCATGCAGCACTGACACCATCGACCAAATTAAAGCAAAAATCCAAGATAAAGTAGGAATTCCCCCTGATCAGCAACGTTTCATTTTTGCTGGAAAACAATTGGAAGATGGACGGACTTTGTCAAGTTACAATATACAAAAAGAATCCACGATGCATCTTGTAAGACGTCTGCGTGGCGGGATGTTCCAGGAAACCAGTGGCCGCGACGGATTTGATCCATTGCCACCAATCACTAAAAACATGCAACAACCTGAACAAACTCTACGGAACGCATCTGTAACCATCTCTACAAAACTTCCAGGCACTAAGGAGGAACTGTTGGCCCTTCTGCGCGAGGAGGAGCGGCGAAGGTTGTCACCTGAAACGCAAAAAAAATATTTTAATGTTGGAAATGACCCAACATGTGACAAGGACTGGATGGATGTAACCGACCAATTGCAGCATGATTTGGTCCGAGAATTTGGTTATTCGGATGAAGCTGTACAATTAATGCGTCGTGCTCCGCAGCTTTATCCAGGTGATGAGCGTATCCATCTTTTATTGTTATTCCATTATTATGCTGAAGCTGATGTTTTTTTATAATTATCTTCAGACGATCCTGCATTTCGTACCACCCAATTATATGTTCGCAACAACATTGCTCATATTGGAGTCCTTACTGAAGGAATGACGGCACCTGATTGCCTACTGGTCCCCTTTGATCCTTCAACGTTTACAATAACAAATGAAAATTGCAATAATCCGCCGAATCTAATTTCTTTGCGTTCACTTTATCGATCAGGACGGCCTCTCGTTCTTCTCGCAGGATCGTATACCTGTCCTTTATTCCGATACATATCCCACGTGCTCAATGATTTGTTTAGGCGATATCAAAACTATGTAGATTTCTACATGATCCAAATTAGAGAAGCGCATGCAAGTGATGTATGGCCTATCGGTGATATTGTATCCGTCAAAGAGCATCGCACGTTATCTGATCGATTGATCGCTGCGAGTGAAATGGTCAGAGCAACTCAGCTGGAAATTCCCGTGATGTCAGACACAATGGATGATACTTTCTTGAAGTTGTATGCACCATGGCCATTCCGATTTTTTATTATTGTAGATGGTATTTTGAAGCTCGTTGGGATGCCAAAAGAGGCGCGTTACGATACAACCGACTTGGTGACGTGTTTGGACGCACTCTTGGAAGGCAGAAAGGAATAGATATTGATAAATGTATTAATATTACAAGTTATTACTAGATTTGATTGTTATATATACAGGTATGTCAGAAATTAATGGATCGACATAGTATTTTTTGATAAAATTTATTCTCAATAAATCGTTTTTATAATTTATACCTATTTCATTTCACCTTACTTATTCTTCTTACCATAATATAATGTTAAATGCTTGGTTCAAATTTAATACAATCGATAATGTATCTGAATTTTGAAAAAAAAGATCTAAATGTAACTAATGATAATTAACTTAACCTAACCTAAAATTTTTAAGCTATAAAAAAACTTTTTTATAAAATTTTTTGTCACATACGATAAAATATAAATAAATTCAAAATTAAATCCATATCAATAAGAGGAACAATAATAACATTTTAAAGCATTTTGATTACAGTTATTTTAAACTGTATTAATGTTAATAGGAAAAATAGTGTTCAGCTGAATACATCTTGAGGAATAATGATACTCAGAAGCAATAGCAACGAGAATGTTGAAGTGTCACCAAATGGTTAAAAGGAATTCTTCAAAGAAGTTCTGTAAATTTTGTTTATGTAATAATTGAATAAAGAAAAAAGAAGCAGCAACTAAAATATAATTATAGGATTTGCAAATTTTTGTTCTTAATCATATGCTATATTGGCTCAAGTTCATGAGTCTAACTATATTATGTAAATGTATCATCAAAATCAAGACGCATTATAATTTGAGTATTAAGTTGTAATAATTCAAAACATTAAAGTCCATTTTGAACCAATTGCATATTAAATTTTTTTGATGATTCTCTAAATGTTTCTTGAGTAAAATATTTTCTTGAATCATTATAATTCTTTGATTATGATGCTTTTCACGAAATACAGTTTGCAATTTCAGAATTAACTATATAATTTTTGATTAATAGCTCAAATGAATATTCATATAGATAGACACTTGTAACCGTAAAGCATGTGATATTTGTGCTTTTTTCTTATTAAATATTATGGTTGTAATAAACCCAAAAAACCTAAATTAATACAAAAAAAAATATTAAAAAGAAAAATATTAAACTAATTATACGTTTAAAATGATAGATAAAAATTAGATATCTTGAGAAAAAATTTACTATTCCTCTTAAAAATAAATAGAAATCTTGTATCACCTCTTTACAAATAATAGTTATCTTAGATTTATTATAAAATAGAAAGAAGTTAATATTTATTATAATAAATCCTTTGAATTTGCCTATATGTGAATAATTAAGTGAAATTTTAATGATATTGTAATTGATATCATCTTATAGTATTAGATAAAAGTATAATAATAGTACAAGTAATATAAATAAAGCTATTTATTAATGTAATAAACTGTTAAAATTAAAAATAACTTAGCAAAATTAAAATCATAAATACAATAATAGGTATTAAAGAAGATTATAATTAAGCTATTAAATTTTTATAAAATAATGACAGAAATCATGTAAATAGAATATATTAAAATAATTACTCAATAATAAGAAGTAATATATGAGAAATTACTAAATTATTATAAACAAATCCTATTATAATCAACCTTAGATTTATAACAATTTAAATAAATAAAACAACTTTAAAAAATAATAAATATAATGATATATTAAAGGAAAATTATATATATATAATTTAGAAAAATTCTTTTATTATAGAAACTATATCTTAAACCTTAGATTTTAAGTTTTTAATTCATATTTTTAAGTTATTATTATTATCTTTGTTATTTACAAAATAATTTTCTATTCTATTTATACAAAATTACAATTATATAAAAATTTCTATCTAATGATATTTAGTATAAAATAATTTATAATGCTAAAATAAATAAATAAAATACAAGTTATAAAATATAATTTAACTACAGTAGTAGTCATAAGTATCTGATCCCTCATAATTCTTAAGTTAATTAATAATATTTATTAAATTTTTTTTAAATTTAAGTTCAATACTAACCTTGATAATTTGTAAAATTATAGATTTGTATCATATATAATTTAAAAGTTCATTGATCAATAGATTTGATATTTCAAAAAAATAATCTTTTTTTTATGTAAATAATTTCATTATTATTATTTAATACCTAAACTTCTTAAATATATAGATTTTTTTTTTAATATATTAATTTTTTAGGAATTATTACATATTTTTTATAAAATTTTAGATAGATTATACAGATATTTAGAGATCTTCAATAATACTGTATTCTTCCTTTTAATTTTTGAATAATATTTGTATTTATTAACTTTTTGTTAAATTTACTCTAAGTTCTCTTTTCTAAAAAATTCAGATATAAGCCAAAAGGTCACTTTTATAAAAATTATATGTAAAATTAACATTAGAGTTTTGTTGAAAGAAAATTGATTTATCAAATCGTAAATCTAAAATATTACTATAATATAGACTTTTTAGCAAATATTATAACTTTTGTTTATTACTAAAATCTTTATTTAAATAATATTTTTAAATATAAT